ATTCTATTTCTATATATTTTTTTCATATTAAATATAGTTGCACCACTTGCCTTGTCTCAAATAAAGTACATAAAAGCTTTATGTTTTTTATTTATCACCTTTGGTTTTGAGCTTGCTAACGATTGCCGTGGTAATTGACTGCAAATCTCTTTTCATATTTATTGGCAATGCTTTTGACTGGTAAGACAAAGAATAGACCTAACCAAGTTACTTGGCGATCTAAATAATAAATTGTTATCAAAAACACACTCAATTGCTCTTCATAAATTTTGTTTATCTTGCAAATCAGCTTCTTATGATCCAAACGGGTTTTAAGTGAGATATAAGAGCTGCACTCACCCTATTCCGTTTAAGTTGATGAAGGACTGGCAGTTGAATTTTCCCATAATGATATGAGAATTCCTCATGTTTCCATTGAATTTTACACGGCCTTTGCTTTCCACAAGGTTTTCTCATTTAAGGGGACTGCAGTTTTAACCTCGTATATGTATCATCAGCACTCAATGGGATTTGAACCCTGATAGGGCAGTGTATACTCCCGACGCGTTGACCACTACGTAGATTATTGCTTCTCATATATCCCGCTTGGGTGCTGATGAGGCTTAGGCGAAATCGCGAGTGCAATCTGCCTTAGATGATAATGTTTTTTTTGGGAAGCAAAGGTTATGCAAATTTCATTGGAAACATTAGACCCACTTATAGCATTGTTGTAAAATTCGGCCAATAATCCTTCATCACCTTAAACTAAATTGGATGAACGCATCTGTCATATCAGATTTGGCTGTCTTGAAAACTTACACATAAACTTTAAGTAAAATTGGCTTCTAATCTATCAATGCTGCAATCCATTTCGTCTATTGATTCGATAATGGAAATAAGAAGGCTCGGCATGTGCAATGTATGTCTTGAGTCGTAACCTTACTTTGCCGAAGCTATAATTTATTTTATCGAGCTTAATAAAGAAGGCAATCTCGTTAGATAATTTACGTAAGGATTCTTGCCTCTATTCACTACATATGGGGCCGACTCCTATCCTGAAAATTCTTTCCTTACAAGACTTATAATAAAAAATTGCTTGATTTATTAACATAGTTTATGCTCTTACACGGGGTAAATAGGCTTTTTGTTTCCTTTCATGTTTATCATAACTGTTTGGAAAAGAAATATGAGCACACAATGGTAAGCTTTATTAGGTTATCGGTGATACTTGCGCTACTCAAAGGGATAAAATTGGGACTACGTGAAGAAGCCACTAAAATCGGGAAAGTAGTTTTACTTATCGTCCGTTAGCTAAAATTTTTGTCGGTTATCATATCAAAGAACTCATCCCTATATTTCTATTTATGCCCTTCCTAGCCACTTGTACTTACATCGTCGACTGGAGAGCCGAATTCCCCCCTTGAAGAGGATGCTAGCCAATCACCGGCCAAAACCTCTACTGGTGCTAGTTTTGCGTCTTCCAATGACTCTCTTCCTCTCGCCTTATCGTCTCTACCTGGCCTCCAGCTACATCATGGCCAACCCAGCAATCATGAAAATATTGAGGAGCCACCTGGCATAGGACCTCGACGATCTGCAAATCGTTGTTCAGACGCTGCCCAGACCCGATTTAAGTCGATTATCGTACATAGGAATTTAGCTGGTGGATTCACAGAGATATGGATCCATTCACCTGAGTCGCTCTTAAAGAACTCACTTAATATCCAGGTTCGGTGTTCCTTTCCCCCTTTGTGTTGCTCTTCCTTATTCTGGATTTTTTATTCCTTAGTTTATTTTCTGTCCATCAAAATAAACTTATTTGGATAACTGGCAAATATCTTTTATTGTTACTATTTAAACCAATATAGACGAAAAACTTTACGCAATTTTTTCAGGATTATAGTTTTATCGTACCGTTTTAGCACTTCTAATTGCCTATCAGGATTCTTATTAACTGTCAGAAAATGAATGTATCAGCATCATGACTTTTCATTGTGAAATTGTTATCTACAAGCACGTAAGTTTTCTTTATTAATTCCATATCAAGAAATTATCCAATTGGTTTTTATGATTTAGTATAGACCTTTTTATGATTATGTGAATAATATTCTTCTTAAAGCAAAGTACATAAATTAACAAATTTAGAGGCGAAATTGGAAAAATACATTGTTTTTTATTTGGGATACCTTCCAGTATTAGGCAAGTTATTAGATAATCAAATATATTTTCTATTGTTGCGTTATCAAAATTAATGTACTTCTAAAGTTTTTTGTCTTAACTATTAAATACCTTTTATTATCAAAGTTATATTATTTTAAATTGGGTAGTTTCTCCACCAATTTTTATCTATTTTGTTATGTGAATACCATTGATCCTGGTCGAGATTGTTTAAACCCCTGAGTTCCCCTTAGTCTTCAGTTTTTACATGGCATCCTTGCATCTTTTTTCTTCTTTTATAGGTGCTTCAGGAGTTGACAACTGCCCTAACTCAAGCTAAACAGGACACAAATCGTCTTGTCTTGCTGTCCGGCCTAGGTAGCGTCTTTTCTTCAGGCATCGATTTAACTCATGTCACCGGCCGCTTGCCCTCTCGCCGCACTCTTCACTCACTCGATTGGCTTCGTCGACAATCTCACTCGTACAATCAAATGTGCGCGTCCTCTTGTATTTGCACCTCATGTTCCGCTGGTGTCTGTGGGCCCCAAACAGTTTCAAATTTTGGTGAAAATGTCACCGCGTCTCTCGACACCAACGGGTCTAGGGCAGGGGTTGGGGGTTCAGGCAATAGTGCAAGCTCTTTGCTCTCCGAAGATGTGTCATCAGGATGTGGCTCCATTTACTCAGAGGGTATTGACGACCGACAACGGTCATTCAGCTGCCAGGGTACTGGAGGCGTGACCGTTATTACCAATTTGAACAATTTTGGTGGACTAGTAGGGGAAGAGGTCGAAGTGAGTCGCAGTAGTGCTGAGAAAACTCCGGCTGGCTTGGATAGTCTCAGTGTGAAGACGAATGCCAGCAGCAGCTCAACTCGCGGAAGCGATGCCGGACAGATTCAGCAGACAGCATCAGCCCCTTCTCCGCCACCTGTAATTTGTCGCTGTGCCTTCTGTTTGAGTCCCCGTGGTGGCGCAGGTCTTGTACCCAGGGCTCCACTAGCTCGACTCGATGCCGGTGCAGCAGGTGCTCGTCTGGCGGAGGTGCTGCGCACTTTCCTCCTCCACCTAGTGGATTTTCCTAAGCTGTTGGTAGTCGGCGTCAATGGCCCTGCTCTGGGTCTGGCCTGCGCTATTTTGCCGCTTGCTGATCTTATATATGCAAGTGACACTGCCAGCTTCCATCTCCCTTATTTGCGCTTAGGGCAAATCCCTGAGGCCGGAGCCAGTTACACGCTGTCTGCTTTGGCGGGAATTCCTCTGGTTAGTTGTCTATAATTCCTTTTGTTCTTACATAAATAATAACTTGTAGATATGAATACCAAGATGGTGTGGCCTGTTTAGTCTCATTCTCTTTAGCCATATGGTGTTGGTTCGACCTTGTTTTCGCAACTTGGTCGGATTGTCAGGAACACCTTGTGGAACGTATCTAGTATCGTGTCCTTTACCATAGTATTCGCAATTTTCCAGCATTGGGCCATTGACTTGGTACATTGCCAAACGCTTCTCTCCCATCGTCAGTGAGAGGCGCCATCGTAAGCACAGAGCTACAACTGATCAAAGTGGCAAGTAAAGGCAATCACCTTGATCAATTTTCAACCGTTGTAATATCACTCTTCGCCCCTATTTTTTTTCTACCTTATAGTACTGCATCATTTTCTCTCAAACCCACTCCATATGACCCATCCACTTATTCACAAAATTATGTACTCTCGTTTATTCCAATGTCGCTATAAGTTGTTTTAGTGAAGCGTAATCCTCTCCATCACCAGTA